TTCACTAAGTCGACACCAAGCAGATGCTCGAAAAATGACCTCGGACAATTCACTAAGCAAACACCAACCAAACACTTGATAAGCGAAATAGAGAGATTCTGGAAGATTCACCAAGTAGACACCAAACAGACGCTCGAAAAACGATCCTTAAGGATTCACCAAGCAGACGCTGGAAAAACGAAACAGAGAACACTAAGCAGACGCTAAAAAAAACACTCCTGGGGGATTCACTAAGCAGACACCAAGCAGGTGCTCGAAAAATGAAACAAAGAGATCATGAAGGATTCACCAGGTGGACGCTCGAAAAATAATATGGAGGATTCACCAAGCAAACACCAAGCAGATGCTCGCAAAACTCATTTCCAACAATTTTTCTTCTTAAACACCTTTCTCCTTCGTAAACAGTAGGCTGAATCAATGCATTTGCATTTATTGTTTCCATAGTTGTGAGCTAATGATACATTGATGATGCATTAAGAAGCGATATCTTACAACCTCAATCATTGAATCCCATTTTTCCTGATCGGCAAGTCATTTCATCAGTAGATCGACTAAATTCAGTAGTGGAAAGCTAATAGTAAGAGATGAGTTTCGAGACTCACGATAAATTTCAACACTTCGTTCTTCCTTAAATCCCGCCTATCATCCATAAGAACATACATGTAAAAATAAAAAGTGACTAATAGTTAAAACAAATCTATAAAATCAATCCAATCCAAGCGCACTCACATAAATAAATTAAAATCCCTGATAAAACGATCTGGTATCATAGGACAACAGCTACTCGTGTCTTCTTTCACCTTTGAGATAATCTTCTATGGCTTAAGCATCCTTTGTATTTCAAATGTATTTCAAATGCATTAACGCTTGTAGATGCAGCAAAGAAAAAGAAAACAAATAGATCCTGAAGGATTTTTTTTCGGTAAGTAGATCCTAGAGGATTGACCAAGCGAGAGACTAAAAAGATGCTCGAAATACGATCCTAGACAGACACCAAGTAGATGCTCAAAAACGAAACAAAGAGAACCTGGAGGATTTACCAAGCAGATGCTTGAAAAACGAAACAGAAAGATCTTAGAAGATTCACCAAGTAGACACTTAAAAAACTCCTCTCCAACAATCTTTCTTTGTAAATACCTTTCTCCTGCATAAACAATAGGCTGAATCAATGCATTTGCATTATTGTATTCATAGCTGTGAGCTAACGATGCATTGAGAAGCACTATCTTACTGCTTTAGTCATTAAATAGATCGACTCAATTCAGTGATGGAAAGATAATAGTAAGAGAGGAGTACCGAGACTCGTGATAGATTCCAACTCATCGCTTTTCCCATCATTCATAAGAACATATATATAAGAACAAAAAGCAACTGATAGTTAAAATAAAATCTATGAAATCAATCCAATCTAAGCATACTCACATAAACAGATTAAAAGTCATGATAGAACAATGCGGTATCGCGGGATAATAGCTGCTTGTGCCTCCTTTCACCTTTGAGATAATTTTCCATGGCATAACCATCTTTTCTATTTCAAATGCATTAACGCTTGCAGATGTAGAAATGAAAAACAAAACAGAGAGATCCTTGAGGATTCACTAAGTAGACATCAAGCAGACGCTCAAAAAACGATCCTGTAGGATTCACCAAGCAAACACCAACGCTTTTAAAACAAAACAGAGAGATCTTAGAGGATTCACCAAGCAAACACCAAGTAGATGCTCAAAACAACAAATAAAGAGATCCTGGAAGATTCACCAAGCAGACACCAAGCAAATGCTCGAAACAACAAATAAAGAGATCCTGGAAGATTCACAGGTGCTCGAAAAACTCCTCTCCAATAATCTGTCTTCTTAAACACCTTTCTCCTACATAAACAGTTGGTTGAATCAGTGCATTTGCATTTATTGTATCCATAGTTGTAAGTTAATAATGCATTGATGATGCATTGAAAAGCGGTATCTTACGGCGCCAGTCATCAAATCCCATTTTTCCAAACCGACTTTTGTGACCGACAAATCATTTCATTAGTAGATCGACTCAATTCAGTAATGAAAAGCTAATAATAAGATAGGAGTTCCGAGACTCGCGATAGATTCCAACTCTTCGCTCTTTCTAAAATCCCACCTATCATCTATGACAACATAATGTAAGAACAAAAAGTGACTAACAATTGAAAAAATCTATGGAATCAATCTAATCCAAGCACACTCACATAAACAGATTAAAAGCCCTGATAGAACGAGCATAAAAAAAACCCGTAAGTATTTGAACTCAAACCCCTTGCTCAGAAGATGAGCAAGTATTTGAATCCAAACTAACCAGCATCCTAGACCACGCGAAGCATCAAATATATTCTAGATGTTGAAACAGGGAGATTTTATGAACATTAGAATTTACACAACTAACTTGAACTGTATATGAACTATATATGTTGAAATTTTCAAACTTTCAAGTCAAATTCCTTTGAGAAATTTTCGCAAAACACCTAGCAAGCAATTATGACAAAAATTTCATTTTCCAACTCCAGTCTTCTCTTTGAACTGCAGAGTTAAATTAACCTAAGACAGAATCGAAGCAATTTTGTCTTCATCTACCAACCATTTTCTCAAAACTAAGGCAAGCAAACTGCTGACTTAGAAATTTTATCAAACACTAGGCGTTAAACTTTCTCACGACTTATGTCCAAATTTGTCAACAAATACATGTGTCCGGATAATAGAAAATTAATGACATATCAAGAATAATAATAATGAGTGTAAATAAAGCATGTATTACTTCTTTTACCACGCAAAATTTATTGAATATTGGAAAAACAGCATCATCATCTACAACTACCACTGCATGCCTACGAACTAAGGTGATCCACTGCAATCATAATACTTCATTGGTCACCTTCCCATTCAACCAGTCATAATCGACAAAAAAATGAAAAACAATAATGACACTACTTCACTGAATCAACACATCATCAACAAGCAAAAAATAACCACAACACTACTTCCTAATCCTGTCACTTCTTATAAGTTCGAGTTACTTCATCTTATTTATTTTTCTTCTTTCTTGATGAGCCTACTACTTTAAATGGAATTTCAGTTGTGGCTGCTTGTGATATTGATTCAACATGTGCTTGTATATCAAGTCTCTGTTGCCCTGTTTGGCACATAATGGAGCGATAACATATATTATGAGCATAAGCAAACACAAAATGGAGCGACAACATAATAGGTCCAACTACTTCAAGGCTTTTTGGCCATGAAGTAGAGGCAACAGAGCACTGCTACTGTGTCTTAAAAATTTGAAGTTCTTGATTCAATCTGTGTTCGTGGTCAAATATTGCGTCTACCAGGTATGAGGTTAAAGCTTATCAATGTTTCAAGTGTGTATTAATGTTGTAGTGATGACCTGGCGGCGATACTTTGCCTTATATGTGAGTAGAAGTTCATTAATCGAAGTGCATGCCACATATTTGATGAAATGTTTAAGAGAAATCAGAATGCATGCTCTCTAAAGGAAATAAGTTCAATAGCCATTTTGTTCAAAGTTTTTCTTCTCACAATATGATTCTCGCATCTTCTCCTTTTTCATGACTAAACCGAGAGCTAATCTTGTTAACCCAACTAAAGCCTAACTCATCAAAACCATATTACCTCAAGTCATGCTTGGATCAATTCATGTTGTTCCTTGATTTAACGATTGACGTAAAAATCGTATTTCATAGCTCTCAAATTACCATGAACAAGACCGACCAATCGAGTTGTTACTCATGTGATTGATTCTACCATGCTTTATTATTATTGTGATTTTTTTTTATTTTCGTATTATGCCATGCTCACGTGAAGACAACGAGCAATAGCACAGACACATTTGATGGTTTCGGACCATGAAAACATACATTTATGTCGTGTTCACTGAGTGCCGACAACACAAGCCAATCGAAACCACACACTTTGTCGGGTTCGCTTCAGAATCTCGAGTTCAAATCGGGTTGCGACTGAGTTATGGGTCAATCGGGTCTTCGCAATTTCGAAGGGCTAATTGTAGGGTTCGGACGGAGGAAGGCAAGCTAAATAGGCAAGTCGATTTGATGAAAGAACGACTTGGCTTGAGCAAAATCCTTCGATTTGAGTTGAGATCGAATCGATGTGGGCAGATAGCAATTAGGACTCTTCCTTTGTTTCTTCGTGTTGGAGAAGATCATGGATTTGGGGCAAGAAAAACAAAAGAGAAGGTGAGTGACGTCATTTTGAAGGTTGTTGGGTTTTTATTTTTATTTTTAATGGAAACAAAAACGACTCCGTTTTGTTTTCCGGCATCCACATTAACTCTGCAGGTTTGGCCATCCAAGTAAGCATTTTCTGGGCCAAATTAGCCTAAAGGACTAAATTGGCTTTTGGTCAAAAGGCTTAGAGCTAAATTTACACAATTAAAATGTTTAGGACTAAATTAATACCAATACAATAGGTTTACACATTTTGTGACACTTTTTGCAAAACTGGACACTATAATGTATTACAATCAATGGCAACTATATCAGAACAATGTGTACAGGAAAAGAAATAGCATAATATAATATGGAAACTAGCTATCATAATCTAATAAGGAAATTAGCTATCATGGTACATAGCGAAAGATCAAATAATACCTCTAATATCTCAAAATATCTTTAACAATATTTTTTAACAATGCCCAACTAAAAATTTCTCAAGTTGTAAAGGAATATTTTTATCATCATATAATAAGTATTACCAAACATCAATATTAAAGTCCTAGACCCAAAAAAAAAAAAACATCAATATTAAAGACCAATAAATCATACGTTGTAAAATAAAGCTATAAATATACTGAGATTGGATCATAAAGACGATGTACTAAATGATGTGACAAATTCTTGTTAGGTATTTGACATTAATTGCTCATTTAAACACTTGGTTATAATCCGTGCGTTACTCAGTAAAATAAATTTGGTGGAAACCTATCTTTTCTCATATCGAATTATTCTTAAAATTGATCCTCAGCATTTCTCTATCCTGCATTTGTTAATCCAATCTCATTCCCTCCAGACAAAAATGGACAGGTCTTATGACGGAGAGATGAGCGAGAGCGAGATCTTCCGAGCCCACGCTCACGTATGGAGCCACACTTTCAACTTCATCTCCTCCATGTCCCTCAAATGCGCCATCGAGCTTGGCATCCCCGACGCCCTCCACTGCCGCGGCCGCCCCATGACCCTCCCGGAGCTTGCCGCAGCGTTGTCTGTCCCCGCCTCCAATGCTGCCTTCCTCGGTCGCCTCGTGGCCGTCCTCGTGCACACCGGCTTCCTCTCCCGCCAGAAGCCCGCCCCTGAAAAAAACCAAATATCAGAAGACGAGGCCGTGGAACTAGGGTTTGAGTATTCTCTCACTCCAGCTTCATATGCGATTGTGAAGGGCCAATCCTTGGACTTGTCGCCGATTGTACTGCTCACGCTTGACCCGATATTCGTCGACCCATTTCACTGCATGAGCGAGTGGCTCAAGAGCGACAGTGAGATCGGCTTGTCATCGTCACGGACGCCCTTACACATGAAGCACGGGAAGAGTATGTGGGAGATCAAGGTCCAAGACGAGAAGTTCAACCGGTGCATGAACGCAGCGATGGCGAGCGACGGGCCAGTGATTGCGAGGCTGATGATGGACAAGTGTGGAAGGCGGCTGTTTGAGGGGCTGAGGACGGCCATCGATGTTGGGGGAGGGATCGGAGGGCTGGCAAGGGAGCTGGCGGAGGCATTCCCGGAGATGGAGTGGACGGTGCTCGATCTGCCCCGCGTGGTGGCTGACTTGGAAGGGACGAGGAATTTGAAGTACGTTGGTGGTGACATGTTTGAGGCTATTCCTCCGGTGGACGCTGTTTTGCTCAAGGTATGAGATGTTTTATGTGTAAGGAAGTACGAAAAAGAATAGCTAAGCTCATATAAATTAATGTGGTATATATCTTTCGTTGATACAAGTATATTTTGTTGGTACTCGTATATGATTTCTTTTTGCCATAATTGCTTGGAAATAGTCCACTTTTATGTTCTTCTTTAATTTTCTTCCAGCAAATGGTACCCTTCGCACATACATGGTCCTGAATAGTACTATCAATCATTATTCGAAATCCACATAGAAGTATATTTACTCACGGCTACATTATATTAGTCGCATTCATGGAGATGCATATAATAATGCTTTCCACGTCCTATGCTAATACTCGGTTATATATTTATGTCCGATTAATTATGCAGTGGGTATTACACGATTGGAGCGACGAAGAGAGCGTGAAAATACTAAAACTATGTAAGGAAGCAATTACAAAAAATCGCAAAACGGGGAAAGCAATGATAATAGAAGCGGTGATAGGAGATGGACCACAGGACGGCGAAACGATGAAACTCTTCTATGACATGATTATGATGGTGGGTACCACAGGCAAAGAGAGGAATGGAAAAGAATGGGCGAAGCTCTTTCAAGAAGCCGGCTTTAGCGACTATAAGATTACTCCTTTGGAGGGTTTTAGATCTCTCATTGAGGTTTATCCTTAATGCTTTCGAAAACAAGTGAATCAATTGGTGCCTCAACGCCAATCTTGGATTTCTCATTCATAAACTAACTCATGAGTATAAGCCTTACCAAAAAAAAAAAAAAACTACCTCATGAGTATGATTAGGTATACTGAAATTGATGTATAAATTGATATGACATAGTGTACACGAATCGCATTCGACACTCTCTTGGAGACTGTCACATCACCTTGTGAATCAATTTTATAAATCAATTTTAATTATGCCTAACAATGTTCTTATACATAGTTTCATTTCTATGTTGGAGGCTAGATAACAGATTCCAAATGACCAGTAAAAATTAAATCTTGTTCCCAATTTATCACTACTAAAGAAAAAAACAGAGAAGCAAAGGACAAGTTTAGACAGAAGAAAATTTCCAAAAACGTGTGTAGTGAGATTGTCCAGAAACGTGAAGTGCTCCCAACACTCACAAGCAAATCAATCCTCATTTGTGGAAACAGAACTAAAAAAGCTTCATCTGCAACCAGGTGCAATCTAATGACTCGGCATGCAATATCTGCTGCTTCAATGCATAAATGGTGCCGTCGTCTTCTTGACCTACAGGCACAGCTGAACGTGCGTAGGTATAAAGACTTCCGCACGACACAAAGCACAAAAGTAATATCGCAATGAACAAAGCAGTAGCTTTGCGTATAACCACAGCAGTAGTATTCATCCATAAAGGATCCAGACATACTGGCTTTGCCTTAACTGAAGTCAACACATAAAACAGTAAAAACAAATCTTATAATTCATTTGCACCTTTGTCCGTGTCATCATGTAAACACTAAACAGAGCCCACACAGGGGCGAGATGGAGACCTGGAGTCTCGAGCATCTTTTTCTACAGATCAATCTAAAGATGTACTAAACAATGTTTGTCATGAGGTGACACTGGGTCAGATGATTCAATCCAACTTCATTTAACTGGGGCTGTATGGAATACTGCAGCCGGTTGTAGAGATAATTAAGCCTGGACCATCAGGATGAAGAACGCATCTCCAGCTTCAGTAAAGTTCCAATTTTGATCCTTGACAAGAATCCCACATCACATCTGTAACCAAATAATATTTGGAGTGGCAAAAAATTTTAGCAAAACAGCTATAGTTAAGAGAGAGACAAATGATGATAAAGGTAAAAGATAGAACAATATGTGACAGAAGATAATGGTTTGGAACAACTGCACCGGTTCGATTTTTTGAAACAAGTAGAGTTCTAGTCAAGTCTATTAATTACAAGATTCACTGTTTCTCTACCATAGGAGGAGGGGATAGACATGACATCGAAGTGCAACAAATGTCAACACTCTAAGGATTAGCTGCACTTAAATCCCAATGAACTGTTGACTAAAACTGCTTCAGATTGGGACAAAGAAACATTTTCGCAGAGCTAAGATGTTTCCTGTTGCTTGGAAAAAGAAATGCGCAACTCATTAAGAACAAGCCCACAATAAAACTCCTGGGAGCTGTTATTTCTTGTTATCCTCCTTCATTGTTCTAATAAACATAAGAATGCTTCTCAAAATGCCGACACCAAACCTCATAAAAATAGCCAAATTGCTCTATGCAAAACGCAGTGCTAAATTTATCTCTATCAACACAAGCTTTAAAAAATAGTTTGATGGGCATTGGAACATTAAAAAAATATGCAATTATTAGCTTCATTACAATTTGGCACTATTTATGGAACTCAGAGGAATGAGTGCCTAACAGAGCTAACATTTAAGTTCATTCTTAGGAAGCCATAAGGCTAATCAGTTCAGTTTTGCCTATCAATATCCAAGAAGAAAGAAATTCAGGCTCTGCACAAAAGGAAAGTGCAGACACATGAAGATGGAGAAAACATAGAGGCATGTGCAAAAGCAATTAATGCCAGGACCAAAGGAAGAAAAAATAGACAAGGACCACAAATATGTCCAACGTAATTGTTCTGATTGGTAAAGTTAAAAGAGAAAATGTTGAAAGGTAAAGAATGTGAGTGCTCCAAGGTCCTGATTAACAGATTTTTAATTTTAAACAGCTGATATAGTGAATAATTGTTCTGGGTCCGCTGAACTTTCCATAAACTAGACGTTCAAAAGCCAGGTGATCGCCAAAATCAAGCTCCAACTACCAACATATGGCCATGGATTCTTGCACACCTTTGAAAAGATATAAATGAAAGCCAAAGCAACAGTTGAGTCTTGTTATATCTAATTTCTCTACATTTAATTTGGCTTTTTGCCACGTTTCACATCATCAATGTTACTTTGCCAGATGAAACACTATGGCATCAGACTACGCCAACGCCACGCAACTACCCATAATTAGATTTCTCTTTGGTCCTTCACAAAATTACACATAATAGATAAACCTGAGTAAGAACTGTGTATGCACCTCCGCTGGTCATGCATCTTCAAAGAGCAATAGCACATGGCCCATCAAGCAAAGAGAATCGATTTTGTAAATAGGCAATGGGATTAGCCAGTATAAAATGAAGAAAACAAGAAAAGAAGTCTTGACTCAATGACAGTTTAAGGATCTGGAAGATTATCATGCCAACTATCACATCTGTAAGGGCAAATATAGTAAAAATCATCTTCGTATCTCTATAAAAGTCTCTTCTCTACAACTAATGTTGTCCGACTCCAATCAGTAAGAGATTGAGAAAGCGCAACTGCTTAAACTTACTTTACAAGTATGACAAGTCGACGAAGAATTAGACGCGTTACACATTCGTAGATTCGCTTCACTGTCCTAGCTTCCAGTCTTAGAAAGGATCAAACAATAGGTAATCATCTTAAACATACTTTCATCCAACAAAGATTTTTACCAACCGACCCCTTTCCAAGTAACCTGGCTCATCAGCCAACCAACCAACAGCAACATTTTTCAATATTCTCATGCTAACACACATCTCTCAGACCGCTTGCCGCATCAATATCATCAATTCAATGCGGAAACCATATCGAATGACCCCATCAAGGAAAACTCGAATCATTTCACAGCCACAAGACAAGATTGACAAAAGGATCAGACCCAGACATCAACCCGAATCTCAAAAAAATGAAAACAACCCGTGAGAGTACAAAGCAAAACAACACAAAACGGACGGAAAAAAATGGAACTTCATGTTAAGGATCATTACCATCCGCTCGAACTCGGCCTATTCCCAAACGAGCTCGTCCGGTTCAGATCCGTCTGGCCGCCTCTCCTCATCCCCTCGTAGCCGCCCCCCGATTTGGGCCGCCCATCCTCTCCATACGGACCGGGAGATCCGTAATACCCCTGCTGCCTCTGGACCGGCTCCCCTCCCCGGAACCCGGTCTGCTTCTGGACGTCCGCTCCGGGCCTCTCCTCCTTCCCCGCGAAGCCCGGCCTAAGGTGCGGCGGGACGAACTTGTCCGGCTTCGGCGACGTCGCAGCGGACAAGGCCTCCTTGTCCCTCTCGAGCGCCGGGACCGGAGAAGGGAGCGCCGCACCGGCTCCGGTCCGACCAAGTGGGCGCAGGGAGATGGGGTCCGGGTCCGAGTCCGGTTCGGGCCGGCTCTGGGCGGGGAGAGGCGACGGGGCCGGCTGAGGACGAGGAGGGGGGGCGGCGATGGGTTTGGGCGCGGGTGCGGGTGCGGGTGCGGGTGCGGGTGCGGGGGTGGGTCGGGTCAGGACGAGCATGCGACCCTGGGTGAGGTGGGCCTTGTAGGGACTGCTGCTGGTGAGGGCATTATAGGGCGATGCTGCAGACGAGTAAGACGAAGAAGAAGAAGGCTTGGAAGATTGGGTTTTGGTGGGGTTGGAGGAGGAGGAGGAGGAGATCTTCTTCTCGTAGACGTCGTTGAAGTTGATGGAACTGTACTTGTTGGTTCTGGCCATCCACCACCAGAGGAAAGCTCGACAAGACAACGAAGTACAGCCCAGAAAATAACTCCTCCCACAGAGACAGAGAGAGAGAGAGAGAGAGAGCGAGGGAGATGGTGGGGGGATCTGAAGAAGGAAAGAAGAAGAAGAAGAAGAAGAAGGAGGAAGTGACCAGAGCTGGTGGATTTATGAGAGGAGGCTCCTTTGTCTGTGGGCTGTGTCGTGTTGTTTGGATTGTATTGGAGCTCGATTGGCTTCTTCCTTTTTAGATCGGCTGGTGGGGGCCACCGGGCCCCACCGGAGCTGCTGAGCTGGCGAGCTCGTATTGGGTGGGAAGGATGGCTTCTTTCCTTTGCTCCATTTGTGTTTTTCATCTCCTCCTCCTCCTCTCGTCCGTTTTGCAGGGGAGGCACAGTTTGAGAGCTCGGCCCATGCTGGTGACCTTTTGGGAGATCTTGAGGAAGAGAGAAACGACGACGGATCGAGAGAGGGCGGGCGGAAACCCCCCCGTCGCCGCCTCCTCCTCTTTTACGCAACTTGTCGAGTAATCAATTGTAGACGTCCTTTGAAATTTTACGTTTGGGGTCAAGATGGAGCGTGTTTTCCAACTCGAAATGCACTAATTTCGCTGTGTGTTTTTCAAGCCAGTTTTTGTCATCATTCGTCGTTCGCTTTCCAATCCCACTACTTGTATTTTATGTGCCTAGTGATTTATCCACGACTCTCGTAGAGATCGATTCCACAAGGTGTACTTTTATATTAGCATGTTGCATCTTTTGACTTTTAAAATCACTTTGGGCCTATATCCAAGTCATTGAGCCCAAAGGACTTGGCCTTTGCCGCTTGGGCTCGAAAATCACAACAGGCCTTTAGACAAGGCCCCAAAATGAATCAAATCGATCTCGATGTGAGAGAGAGAGAGAGAGTCGCTTACTTCTAGAGAGAAGGGCGAGGTGATAGACGGCGAGGAGCGGCACCGACGGAGACAGAGGTGGTGTGACTAGGCAGCTACAGAGTAATTGGCCGACGCATGGAAAATTATCAAATTAGTCATAAATTTATTGTATGGATGTCAATTCAATCATGAACTGTTTAATTTTACCAATTTAGTCTTAAATCTTTGCATAATTTTCGCCGCTAATGTGGCGGTGTAGGACTACATTGAAATTTCGTACGAAGATTTAGAACAATATTGGCAAATTTTTGAAAGTTTAGGACTAAAGTGGCATCCGTACAATAAGTTTAGAATTGATTAGACAACTTTTCCGGCCGACATGGGGAGAACTGTTCTTCAGATGGTAGAATTTTGGGGAAGAGAAAGAAAACAGGCACTTTTTTTTTTCAAATGTACGTAATTCTTTCTCTTCTAAATGAAACATTTTATCAAAGGTCTAAAAAAACGAGATGCAAATGAAAAAAAGATGACCTAGCAAAGCACACTATAAAATGCACACATCCTGGCAACCCGACCAAGTAGATATGCAAAAGGGAGATTCTTCTAGGCTTTAGCTACATGATTGGGGCTGTCGGTAATGATAATGTTTCAAGTTCTACGCATGTATCCATATGACTGACCACTAGCCGGTCCCAATACTACTTGTTTGAATATGATTTTTTCCAAATCATTATTCGATTTGAATAAAGGAATAGCCAAAGAGAAATCATAAAGTAGGACTGCTACTTTACATGAGTATCATAGTATTTATGGACAAATGGTATTCATATGCTTCTAAGTTTATTAATCACCCATAACAAGGAATACATTTTAATAATGTGGAAGTGGAGACCAAGAACCAAATTTGGGGGGGCAAATTACTTAATCGGTCCTATTATACGACAGTCTATTCAGTCCTAAATTTTTCAATTTTGTTAATGTGTATAGACAAAAAAAAAATTGTCAATGTGGTCCTAAACCTTTACCCAAAAATTTCAATATAGTACTTTTGACCAACTTTGGCCTCGAAAATGCTTATGTGGAGTCGAGTCATTGTCGGCCGTCCTACATGGAATGGCCGGCAATGATGTGGAAGAACTTAGTCGTAGAACGACGTCATTTTTTTTTCAATTTTGTAATTTTTTTTCTTTTTTTCCTTTTCTTTTTTCTTTTGTGCTATTGTTCATTTTCTCCAGATGTCGCTTCGGCCAGCTAAGGCTGCCATAAACCATCTAGACCTTGGATCGACCTAGATCCGAGACCAACCGAGCCCCTCGAGCTGAGCGATGGACCTCACTTATCCCTATCATCCTTGGACTAACCTAGACTTGCTTCTTCGTAGCTCTTATTGCTTCTCATCATCAATCTATATGAAGGAGGAACCAAGATGAGCTGTTGGTGAGCCGGAGCTATTGGCATTGCAAATGCAAGATCTTTCATTGGTAAAGTATCCCTATAAAATTTTGAGATTTTCGAAACTATCTTTGACTTAATATCTTTATTATAAGTGTAGATGTTCATCACAATGATGTGGCGAAGATTTAAGGAAGATTGTGATGGTATTGATGGTATCCTCGAGATTAGAAAAGGTCGAGTTACGTACAAGAATGAGGATATTGACAGGAGGGGAACAAGTTAAATATGACAAGGTATTCATGAGAACTTGGAAGTACTACAATCGATCTGTCATCAATATATAGTCTTTAGAGGCTGACACACTCAAGAGGATCGTTAAATGATTAATCGCAAGTCGTTCCACACGGTTTGATTGTGGAAAGCACCAACAGACTAGTGAAAGGGAGCACATGCTACCGTCAAGTAATAAGGAGCATTGGATCATGCTGGTATCAAGTCTTGGAATGTGCTAATGAACTAGTGCATCTGCAGATGATCGTTGATGGGCATAATATAGCCGTTGACAGGCCAAGAGTTTGTAATAGGAGAAGCGGAAATGAGTCAAAGCAATTTTGACATTTTTTGTTGAACAGTCAGAGGAATGGTGATGTAACAATAGTAGCAAACTCCATTTAGGGGAAACCATGTTATGGTCTAATGGAAGGGTTTTATGGGCGATCTTGACCTCGACAACAGCTCCAACCAACTCCCAACGGCTCCTAACTCCTCAAAAGCATCTTCAACAGGTGGATTGAAGATGACTATATAAAGCGGAGTAGCACAACTGAAAAAGGGATGAAAGGAAAATAGAGAAAAGTTTATTTTGTTATCATCATTTCTCGATTGATCAAATTGTGTTACTGCCTTATTGAAATTTCGTCGTTGTAATCTTGCTATACGGTAATTAGTGATAAGAGGAAGTGGACAATAGTGATAGAAGTATTTGCATACTGATGGTATGACTGTATTGTAATAGAAGCAGTACTTGCTGCTTATAACTTCTCTTGAAAATTGCTACATGAGTCAAGCTTGTCTTGAGGTTGTTACCATAGAGAGTGGACATAGGTTTGGGAATCAAACTGAACCACTATAAATTGTTGTGTCGTATTTTCTATCTTCTCATTATCATATATATATCTCTCTCATAGTTGCATCAACACTTGCTTGATACTTTCAACTTAGTCTCTGCCACTGTCTTAGTACAACTTGTTATCTTCCACAAGAAAAGTTGTTCGACCCCGCTTCCCTTCCCACCACCCCCCCCCCCCCCCCCTCACCTTAGGTTGTAGTATTAGCTCCAACATCTTTTTCTCCTTCAATAATGTCATTGAACCTGAATTTGAGAACTTGATTCATTTTGATCTCAACATCTTTTGATATTCTTGTAAATTTTTTGCAGAAGAGGATAAATGAGGAGGAGGGAGAGATTGAATTGTGTGAGTATTGTTGATGGTGGTTGTGGTGGTGATCGAAGGGAGGAGGGTATAGTCGAGCCCTAGGTTGTGCTCCAGCCGGAGAGTAGTCACGAAGAAGAGGCCGTGCAAGGAGGGGTTCGTGAGCAGCGTAAAGAAGTTGCAGAAGCGAGGGATTCGCTCCAAGACAAGTACGAGTATCTAGAGAAGACAGTGGGGAACCAAGACGACCAAGAGCACTCCTGCTAGTCGAAGAAGAGCAAGGATGGATCTTCGGAGAAGAGCTACAAGAAGCGCGTTGTGGACAAGGACGTAGAAGTTGAGGATCGGAAGAGCAAAAAGTTCATAAATGGCGAAGAAGAGAACGGCTCCAAAAGAGACCGCAAGTGGAGAAGGAGGCGATGAACAGAGCAAGAAGTTCAGAAATGGCAAAGGAGACGATGAACGAAAAGGAAAAAAAAAAAGAAAAGAAAAAAATCACTTTTTTTTTATAATTTCTCAAAACGACGTCGTTTTGAGTGGATTCGGACACGTCAGGTCACCGGTCATGCCACGTAGAACAATTAGCGCTGACTTGACCTTCTCGCCCTAAATTGGTTGAATGGACTATATACAGATATCGTCAAAAAGTTTAAAATTGTATTGACTAAATTGAAATATTTAGAACAAAATTGTATTGACTAAATTGAAATATTTAGAACTGAATTGGTATTCACACAACAGATTTAGAATTTTTTATATTATCATCTCAAACTCGAATACATAGCCATTTTATCTAAAAAGTTTCAATTCTTTGTACAAATGGGTCTTTCGGGACTTTTTGAACATCCGATTATTCCCTATCAAGTGTGGCAGTCCTCCAGTATTTACGGGGATAATACACACAGGCTTGTACTCCTGGGATGGCCTCAAGAGAATGCGCAAGTGTGGTAATTTCAATCCAAGTGTGAAGCGAAAAGGACAAACATGCATTGAACCAGGTAATGTAAGATATTATCTAAAAGTTTAGTTATTAGAGAATGGTGCAGATAATGTTGTTAAAGGGTAACCCTCAAATTTATTGAGATGAGTCCTACTTATCGAAAAAAACAGAAAAGGAGCGAGAGTACCCACTTCCCCAGATTTCTTCGAGAGTCGGGAATGGCGCAAATCATATCGTCCTACTAACTTAAAGACAAGGCATCATTACACATAAATAAATAAATGAATGTGTAGCAACCTCCGTTGGCAAAACCATATACGAAGTACAGATAGAAATGAAAACAATCCTGATAAATCCAAAGGAAAAATGACACAAATAGTTTTTGAATTTTGGCCCAATATATAATATGGTTCATGAACTTTTAATTTATTCAATGTGGTCCATAAACTTTAATCCAATTTGCAATTTGATCCTTAAACTTTTAATTTGCTTAATATTGTCCTTGCACTTTTAGTATGCGTTCAATTTAGTCCATGAACTATATGAAAATGTTCAATGTAGTCCTTCCATTAATTCAAGTTCATGACGTTTTCATATAGTTTAGGGACTACATTGAACATGTGCCAAAAGTTCAGGGACCACATTAAATATTAGCTTAAAGTTCATGGACTATATTGAACAAATTAAAAGTTCAGGTGCCACATTACATATTGGGTCAAAGTTCGGGGACCACATTGAATATTAGGCTAAAGTTCAGGGACTACATTGAACAAATCAAAAGTTCAAGTACCACATTATATATTAGGCCAAAATTCGAGACTGTTTATGTTATTATCCCAATACCCAAACTAACTTACCAAATCAGTTTCTAAAATGAGATGTGAATAGACGGATGCATAAAATACAAGTCACTTCCTTTGACGTTATGTCAGAGTTTTGGACATCATTTAGTGAATGAATTTGACAAATCAGTTCTAATGTTTCTAAAAATCTATTCGTTAGTTAAAGTTATATGTATTGCATATTGTTATTCTTTTATCTTTCCAGCAAATATCTAATCATTGGCCCCACTATCTGTAGAGTAGCTAGTACGTCCCCCTCATGCCAAGTTTGCTCCAGCGAGGCAGCCAACCAGAGAATGTGTAAACATCTCTTGTCCGTCCACAACACAATTTTAAAACAAACGAAATCAAATTGGCGGATTTTGTCTTGCGATCGGACACGATTACATCCATTCTTAGCCAGAGATTACTTGATATGGTCGATCTTTATGAGGAAAATTACAAAAAAAAAAAAGACCTAAATCTATTGCATTTTTATCAATTCAGTACTAAAATTTTTAATTGTGTCAATTAAGTCTTAAATTTTTTCATGTTTTGTCAATTGAGTCCATCCAACCAATTTTGGTCGAAATCAATGACGTTGATTGTCTTACGTGGTACAGCCAACACTGACATGAACAATTTATAATGATATTTTTATCATGTTTTTGATTATTTTATTTTTTATAACCCTCGCCAGCCGACCATCGCTAGCCACAAGTCCATGCCCTCACCGGCCACAGGTGTAACGACCCCGTCCGACGAGGGCAGGGAGTGATCGCCGGAACCAGAGAGGGCTCGGACAAGGAGAGGCTCCCGGCAGATTTCGCGGATGGCGAGGGGATTGCATTGCTCTTGTCCCACATTGCTTAGAGAGTGAGATCTTGGTGAGTTTATAAGGCTTGGCCCCTAACCCTTGTGTAATGCGTTTTAAAACCGTAAGGCCTTAGTGTCCAAAGCGGACAATATTACACAAGGAGTGACGCAGCGGAAGCGTGGTGGGGCCGAGATCCTTACAAATGGTATCAGAGCCAACTCCCGACCGCATGTGGGACCATAGCGAGGACGCTATGCTCGAAGGAGAGGAGAATGTAACAACCCGGTCCGACGAGGGCAGGGAGTGATCGCCGGAGCCAGAGAGGGCTCGGACAAGGAGCGGCTCCCGGCAGATTTCACGGATGGCGAGGGGATTGCATTGCTCTTGTCCCACATTGCTTAGCGAGTGAGATCTTGGTGAGTTTATAAGGCTTGGCCCCTAACTCTTGTGTAACGCGTTTTAAAACTGTGAGGACTTAGTGTCCAAAGCGGACAATATTACACAAGGAGTGGCGCAGCGGAAGCGTGGTGGGGCCGAGGTCCTTACAACAGGCGAGGGTGTTGAGCCCTCACCCAAATCCAGGTGAGGGCCTTCACCCTCGTCGGCCACAATTGAGGGCCTCCGAGCCCTCGGCAAGATCCAGGCGAGGATCGCAATGCCCTCGCTAGCCATAGGCGAGGGGCTCGCGGCCCTCCCTTGAATTTGGGCGAGGGCCTCGACACCCTTGCCAACCAAAATTGTAATAAATAAATAAATAAATAAAAGAAAAGAAAGAAAAAAAGGAAAAGAAAAAGATAAATAAAATAATTTGGAAAAATGTTAAAATATTATTAAAAATTCTCCACTTCAGCACCAGCAATGCCATGCAGGATGATCAGCACCGTTGCCTAGAACCCACGCCCGTGGAGATAACGATTAACACCTTTTTTGTTTGCCTGAGCAAACAAAAAAGATTTCTCGTTATTGTTGGTTATAACACTCTAAAAAGCGGTTGTGCCTTTCGAAGCGCATTTCCAGCTATGAAGATAGTCGGCCAAAATTGACCGAATGGGCTTTATTGGCAAAATATTGAAAGGTTTATGGCTCAATTGACACAATTAAAAAGTTTAAGATTGAATTGGCAAAAGTGCAATAAATTTAAGATTTTTTAACAATTTTTCCGATCTTTATGAGGTTATCTACTGAAGTGAAGAGAGAAAGCCATATGAAAGGGTGAAAGGATGAAGTGATGTTGGAATCAAATTCTAGATCTGGCGCCGTTGAAGTTGACTTGGTTGAGTGCTTGACACTTATTCTGAAAATTTAAACAGTTTTGTATCTCCGTCCTTCTATTCATCGAGTTAAGCGACTACTGATTGAATGATTCCTAACCTAATATAATCAATGAAGAATGGTAGTTTGTTTATGGAGGTTTGACATATGAGAACTGGAAACACATAAAATCATAGCCCACATCTCTCTCCCATCTTTCTCAGGGGAGGTCAAAACATGGAGGCCCCTTTTCCAAATACCATCACTCTCGATGGCTTGCTTATTGATAACAAGGAGACAAATTAAAGCTTGGCACTCGGTGTCGAGCTCCGTCACAATCAACAAGCTCAATGGCAGCGGGATCCCTAGCTCGGTACACTAGACATAGAGAGAGAGAGAGAGAGAGAGAGAGAGAGAGAGAGAGAGAGAGAGAGAGCTTGATGGGCAGCATGTATGCCATGGCGGAGGTCGCGGTCTCTTAGGATGGTGGTTAGAGGCTATAGAGACGGAATTGCAAAAGTTGGGATTGGGTTAAAAGTGGGTAGAGGGGCTCTCTTTGGATTATTGATGTTCGGTTAAGAGTTAACCTTACAAAAGAAAGGAAACTTTCCCTCATAGGAGGGCCACCATGGCCTATCTCCACCCCGTGGGGGAGCTTTACGAATGCGTTCTTTATTTTAACGTATTGATGCTTGCACGTCTCGCACTCCAATTCTTCCTGTGTTTTTGTCTTCCCCAGGAAAATGGAACCCTCTTGAAGTTTTATATCCTGGTGATCCAAAAATTTGAATGAGGATCGAAATGAAGTCTTTTAAGAACTTGCTTAGGTCCCACGAGAAAGAAAAAGGGAGAATAGAGAAAAATTAGGCTTTATGTAAGATTATTTCGGGTATGGTCAAACTCAATAAAATAAACTCGTGTCATAACTTCGCAATCAGGAAAGGACAATCGTAGCACCAAAGAAAGAGGTGTTTGACACCACTTTCATCTTGCCAAATGCTTCTTCTTCACTTGGGGCTACTCTTTGGACCCACCCCCTTCGTTTGACTTCTAGAGGCCACCAAATGTGCTGGCTAATAGCCAGTTTGGAAAGTTCACGATTTTCAATCAGAAATCCAAGGACGTGATTGGCTGAGAGATTAGGTCAACCTGACAATCTGTGCAGCATTCTAAATTCTAATTCCTCACATGGGAAAGGTTCCCGTCCTTGCTATTCCCAACCAAGATTTGTCATTACTTAAAGTTCAAATAATTTTGGGACTAGTCGTTCACTAATCTCTGTCAATGGTGGTTGCAGATCGTGCTCATATTCCCTCGTGATAAAGAAGCATTAGATGCATGTTTACTGGCTTGTCTGGCATATGAGCTGATGAACATTATTCAAATTGTGCCTATATAATTTAATTAGTTCAATTAGTCCTTGCCCCACAAGATATAAAATAAAATGTTTCGAGGAAAAAAAATTTCTCATATTGAATTCGAAGTGCGACGCTATTATTACTTAATATTCCTATTTCATATGGCGAGTTCGATTAGTCCAAATTGAAAATAAAGTCGTGCTTAGCTTGGTATTGAACTAAAAAAATGAAGGTGACGAAGTCACAAAAAAAGTTCATATTCTTATTTAGGTACTCTAAAATTGAATTTGCGATGATGTTTTCTGAGTTTCACGGTCCTTGTTCAAGGCAATAGAATTGCCATTTCAAGCTTAACTTTGACCGGAATTTTAACGGAGTATTGCTAACGAATGTCCTGTGCGCACTTACTAAGCTATAATTTAATCCTCAAGACACTGGTTTTGTACAACACGAGGGCGATCGGTGCACTGAAAACCCTAAAGTTTCTTTAGTTAACTACTTAATGAGTGTTCTGGGAGTTAAAATATTAGTGCGGAAAGTAATAATTAGGAAATTTGAGTATATTTCGATATATGGGAAAAGTCTACATGGAGATCCTATTTATAAGCTCAGATAGAGAAAATCAAAGGGAACCAACCTAATATGCATAATCAAAAATGGATATAAAGAATAAGAGAAAGTATCCTAATAAATATCCTACACTGGGACACCCGGTAACGAAATCCATTCTAATAACAAACACCTGGCGCTGCTCTTCAATGATAGAAATATTCATGGTGGAGGCATTACGTGATTAACACGATTGTATCCACTCCTTCCAGTTCCTGTCTGTCTATATGATTTTTTGTCTTCATCCGATCATCGTGGTTAGAAGCCAGCTCATGCCAACGATGTCACACCCCCACATCCACCCATTTATACTCCCCACCCCCCGAAAGCGTCACTCTCATCATTCCACTCCAAGAAACACTCACAGCACACCAATGGCTTCCTCATCATCTTCTTCTTCTCCTTCTTCTTCTGCTCTCCCTCTCATTCTCATTGCCTGCATCTTCTCCCTCACCCTCTCCCCGCCTCGAGCCCTGGCCCAATCCCCATCGGCTCCGGCGCCGTCCCCTTCGGGCCCCGCGAACCTCACCGGCATCCTCGCCAAGAACGGGCAGTACACCTACTTCATCCGGCTGCTCACCACCACCCAGGCCGCCACCCAGATCGAGAACCAGCTCAACACCTCCACCGAGGGCATCACCGTCTTCGCCCCCACCGACAATGCCTTCAACAACCTCAAGGCCGGCACCATCAACGACCTCAACAACGAGCAACAGGTCTAGACCCTGAATCTCCATTTTGCCATTGTTGTTAGACTAATGCTAAATATAAACTCGAGTAAGGCTAGATTGATTAAGATTGATTTACAAAAATGATTTACCCAGTGATGTTGTATGATAAGTGGGCCACATTCAACACTCACTAATAGTCTATCACAACAATGATAGAAATTAAACTCGTCTGAATTCTACTTTTGACTATCAATTATCGTATTGCCTAGTAAATCAATTTGACAAGAAAGTTTCCCCATCGATCTTGTCTAGCAATAATTGTTCGATTCGCATTCTAAATTGCCTATATCCATCATTGTTTCCAACAGGTTCAACTCGTTCTCTACCACATCGCCCCGAAATACTACACCCTCCAGTCTCTCCTGAGCGTCAGCAACCCGGTAAGAACGCAGGGCAACTTTGCGGGCCTCAACTTCACCAGCGAGGGCAACCAGGTCAACGTCTCGACCGGCATGGTCCAGACGCAGATCAACAACGCGCTGTACCAGCAGTCCCCGCTGGCCGTGTACGAGGTGGACAAGGTCTTGCTGCCGCCGGAGCTGTTCGAGGCTCCAGCCCCAGCATCATCCACTCCCCCCGCACCGAAGAGCTCCTCCAGCGGGTCGAACTCAACATCATCCGCAAAGGCACCATCTTCGGAGAACAGCAATTCCGGCACAAGTGAGAGGAGTAACGTGTGGCTAGGGTTTGTTGTCGGGGTTGGGATGATGTGCATGGGGTTTCTGTCGTGAGAGTTTAAGATGAAGTCCTGAGTTCTGCATATAAAGCACGTCCTGTCACATTTTGTGTGTCTCTCTTCATTTGTTACATCTGAGCTTCATTGACTTTCCATTGCTGTTTGTTTGAACGTGGAGATCCTTACTCACATTGTTCTCATGAATCTCTCTCTCTCTCTCTCTCTCTCTCTCTCTCTCTCTCTCTCTCTCTCTCTCTGTGACTGGGTGTGTGGGTGTCAGCGTGGAGTGGGAGATCAAATTGTAGAGAAATGAATTGATTAATGGTGGCAACTTGTGAAATTGGATATCTCAGATCCAGAGCACATGGCATTGCTGGTGTAACTCGATTTTTTATACGAGTGACGATGCCATTTTTTATTTCCTGCCATGCACATTGGTTTCACCGAAGCACGTGAGACATATAATGCCCGTTTTGTTTGCTGACAGTTAGGTTGGGCGCTTCTTGTCACTCCCTCTCTTTGAGCATTAGAGGAACGTCCCAAATGAGTTAGGTATACTTGTGACAGTACTTTCAAATATCCGATACCTTAAATTTTTAGCGAGAGTGAATGGAGAAAACAACGGAGGCGGTGCGACGATGGAGAGACAGTATCACTTGATCGAGTGAAAGTGGCGATTTGCGTGACAATCTGGTCAATCAAATCAATTTGGACATATGATGCATATATGATGATGTTGAATGATGGTAGAGACGAAAGCATGCTGAGATAAAACAGTCATCTTTAGAATCAGATAATCTAGGCTCCGTTCGTTTGGCGGAAAATATTCTCTTTTTGGAAAATATTTTCCCGGAAGTCATTTTCCTGGAAAATCTTTTCCCGGAACATAATTTTCCGGTGTTCGGCGACAAATATGAAAAAGTTTTGGAAAATATTTTTCGCCGGCGACCGCGGCGGGGCGGCGTCCGGCGGCCGGCGACCGCGGCGGCCGGGCGACCGGCGGAGGCGGCGCGGCGGCCGGCGGCACCGCGCCAGCGGCGCGGCGGCGCGAGCAGCGCGGGCGCCGGGCGCGGCGGCGGCGGCGGCGGCGCGGCGGCGCGCGCGGCGCGGCGGCCGGCGACCTTAGTGAAGAAGAAGAAGAAGAAGCTCGGAAAATGATTTCCGCTTCTGAAGAAGCGGAAATCATTTTCCGGAGCTTCTTCTTCTTCTTCTTCACTAAGGTCGCCGGCCGCCGGTCGCCCGCAGCGGAAGTCATTTTCCGTAGACTTAGGCTATTTTGTGAGAGGGGGAAGGAAAATATTTTCCCACGGAAAACGTTTTCTGCCCCCCGAACACCGAAAAACCCGGAAAATATTTTCCGGGAGAATATTTTCCGCCAAACGAACGGAAGTCTAAATTCTACCTAAATTTTCTTTTAGGTATAATTTCATTGTTTCATTTAGGAGTGAGCATGGGTATCGGGTAAAATTGAGAATTGAACCGAACCGGCCATAAGAATCGATCTGGTTCTAGGTTTCTGCTCTTACCGATCTAATTCCCAGTTTCAAATATTTTGGAATCGGTACAGTGTGGTTTTGATCCCGAATAAGAACCGAACCGGACCGGAACCCAAAGAACCGGAGAATCAAATCTGAGTTAACCCTATATTCTTTTTTACTCTTGCAACTTGTTTGTTGCCGCCTCTCATCCTCCGGTTTCTCCTTCTTCTTCTTCTTGTGTCACTCGAACAAAGCTGCAAGCAACGAGTCTCTCTCGCTCTCTATCGCTTGTGAATCGTGACTGATCTCCAGAGTCTCCTCTCCGGCAACTCGCTCCCTCCGGAGACTCACTCCTCTCTAGCAGCTCACACTCTCCAGCATCAGGGACTCACTTCGAGAGGTAAGCTTAAGTATTTTTGCATCCTCCTCTCAGTAATCAAACTCCTAAAAGCACTCTCGGGGCATGCCATTGCCGTTTGACATCACATGGACAACGTGTTCAAAGAAATGTCTAATTGACAATTGAGTGTTTGGTTTCACATATTAATCTTGATCATTCGATTGGTCGTTTTTCTAATCATATGATATCTTGACATCACGTAATTTATTGTACCATATCGTCGCGGGTTTGAAGTGATGTCCATTTGATAGTTACTAAAACATCTTGTCTGGGGGAACTGGCGGGATGAAATCTATAATAGGTGACCCTGCAAGGGGATTGCAGGCCTCAAGTTACTTTGGTTTAACTCACTTAAAGGTGCTGCCTTTTCCTAATGCCGCTTGACGAACCAATGGAGTTATAGAGCAAGAAGATCTTATGTATGTTCAGCAATTTTTGTTGGTTTGGTAGCAGAAAGTGCCTGCCAAAGGTTCCTAAGCTCGAGCAGTACAGATAATTTAGGCCGAGGCTTAGATTTAGAGCTAATTATGGATTTGACAATACAATGAAGATGTTGGCGATTTTCGGGTGTTGTCTATGGACTGTTGCTATTGGTGGACAGGGATATTAGTTATTGTTTCTAACTTTCATTTTGTTTGACTAAAATTGAAACAAAAAAAAGAAAGGAATTGGCCAGATCCTGGCTAGACCCTGAAATTGAACCTACGGTTTCATGGTATATAGGGTAGATTTTATATAGAATCGGAACTTACCTTGAAACTACTCATTCCTAATTCCGTTACGAAAACATATGGATTTCCTTTTCCGTAATAGTAAATTTCAATAAGTATAGGTAAGTCTTAAAACTATTGCTAATAGAAAAGTGATCGGTGACTCTTTTTTACACGTAGTTTATTGGTAACTTGCTAATACTATTACAATATTATCAATTGTCTTTGACAAAAGCAATTTTTTGTACTAACTTACCAACTTTTATCCCCATAACTTACCAACCTTTAAGAAATTACCAACATAATACCAACTTTTGTTAGATCAAATTATCGTATAACTTTGATATGCCAAATCCAATTTGAATTAGTTACCAATTAATTCTTTTAAATCTATCAACTATTCTATCGGGTTACTAATCTTTGTTTGCCTTGGTTAGTAACCACACACATTAACCGACTATTTTCAGAAATTACCAGCCTAAAAATAGCGTGAATATAAACTTTTCTTCCATTGAATTAGCACGAAGAGATGCCGTGATGTATCGCTTTCACACATGCAATAAACTTTCGTGTGAAATTATGCAGTCAGGCAGTTTTCATAAATCTAATTTTTCCGCAAACCAAACGGACCACCGAGCCTTTTCGATCGAATGGTTGTTATCAAAGGCGTAAGGCTGCGCTTGGTCGACCGGATAAAAGCCAGGATAGGATATGTTTTATCCTATCCTGTGTTTAGTGGTGGTCCAGGATAGGATAAGGTCGGATATAAACCGGATATAGCCCGGATAAAAAAATCCGAGGGGGGTTGGATAGACCTGGATAGGATTTCTAATGTCTATTTTTTCAGAAACCCTATGCTCCACTCGCCATCATCTTCATCCCCACACCTTGTGCACTTTCACCAAAAAAATTTCTCGGCTTTTTTTCCTTCACCGACTCCTCTGGACCTGTGAATAGCAAAAAAAAAAAAAATTATCCTATCCGACTTTAAATCCGTAGTCCACCAAATAGTGGATAGGATATGAAGAAATCCGAAGATTTCTTATCCTATCCTATTCAGTCATATCCTGTTTAGAAATCCGGACGATCAAACGCAGCCTAAGTGTTCCGAAAATTCCTTAAATTTTCTCCAAGGAAAGAATCATGGGGCGAAATAAAGGGGATGTCGGACCGACCCGTTAAGGAAGCGGGTATTGGGCCGGCGCGGCCCAAAACCGCCGCTTCCCCCTGGCTTTTCCGTCACGGCAGAGAAGAGGAACCACCATTAAACCCTCAAAACCCCTTCTCCCTCTCCCTCTCCCTCTCCTCGCTCGGTGAAGGTACCGACTGGTTCAGCACAGCGACGACTGCGACCCTCTCGCCGTCTCGCTTCACTGCCGCCTCCCCCCATTTTCTCCGATTTCTCCGGCCGGTTGCTGAGCTTATCTCAGGTATGCCGTACCGAACTGGGTGTTGGGGGATCTGCTTTCGTTTCTCTCGTCGTGGACGAATTTTTGCTTTCCTCTTTTTTTGTTCTTTTGCATTTGGGTTTGGTTTGGTTCGCCTATTTGACCCGATTCGGAGTGACCCAATGTCTTCCGGTCGGAGGTAGAGGGGTTTCTGTGCTTGATAATGGGGCGGGTAAGCTGGGCGTTGTTGAGAATCGCTGTGTGGACGCTGGTTTATATGCGTTTCAGTGGTTTCCATTGCCTGAGGATTGTGATTACTGGACGGCATTAGTTTTTTCATCTTCATCTTCTGGAGGTGGAATGTGTGTTTGGTTGCTGTGAGCTTGTTTTCTGGAGCTTAGAATTACTTGAAGAAAGTTTCGAGCTTTCGTTTGCCCGAGCTGCATTTTTTCCGTCGTGGCTGGTTTTGCAAGGGCAAAAGAAATCTTTGGAGGTTTTTCTGGACAGCTGTTATGATGTTATGGCTTGATTGAATTGGAAAATTCTCTCTTTTTCTTATTGCGGGTTGAGATCGAAGACAAGTGCCTGGGAAAATGTTTTGTTTTGTTTTTTTTTTTTAATTATGCTTTGTCTGAACCATCTGTTCCTGCCGCCGAGGATGAATGGATTTCATAATCGCGGGGGAAGCACTTTTGGTTTTGGTCAAAATAGAGAAATGCTATTTTCTTCCGTCCGACTGGACTTCTTCCGTCCTACTGTCCTACTGGACAAATGATGAAGAGTCGAAGATAGCCGAGATGGAATTTTTCTCAACTTTTTTGCTGCCTTGATTGGATATCCTCATGCAAAAAGTTCCTCTTTTGATCTGTGTTTCATGAGTCGGGTTATGTTAAAAGGTCATCAGTGCCCTTCCACTAATTGTTTGCTATGTTATGTTCCATCACTCCCCTCTGCTGCTCTTATGCTGTTATGCTTTTTACAGAATATTGGTCAATCGATTAAAATTTTGTATTGGGGAAGGGATATCAAAGTGGAATCTCACTTTTCTCTACTTTGCACCTGGTAGTCAGTCTTCTCATGCAGTTCGTTAGCTCATACGATGCATGTGTTCAAGTCCTATAGTTATTTATTTGCTTGTCTTTTGTGTTCCCCCCCCCCCCCCGCTTAAATTGTTGCTTTGTCGGTGAGGTTTTAATTTGAGATATGCTGCCAGTTTATCATTTTTGTA